GTAGCGTGAGGAGACAACAAAGAAGAACCTGCTCCGCCGTCGACAGCACCCGGCTGAGCACCCCCAGAGCGAGTACCCCCCGCGGCAGCACGACCTGCACCTGCAGGAGGTGTACCCGCACCCCCAGCCGTGGTGCCCCCAGTAGCACCAGCACCAGCCCCAGACTCTCCAGCTCCAGAAACACCACCAGCTCCAGCACCACCACCAGCTCCAGTACCCTCGGAACGGGCAGCTGCGGCAGGTGCACGCTCAGCGCCAGTGCCAGCACCCCCAGAACTGGCCGCTCCTGTAGGTGCACGAACAGCTCCAACGCCAGCACCCCCAGAGCGAGCACCGCCAGAGCCCTCACCTCGAGCACCGACACCCTCAGTGTCCGCAGTGGCCGGTGAAGGAAGCGCCGACGGCTGCTGCGGAGGCGGTGAGGACGACTGTGGGGAAGGAGGAGAGACCTGGGGGGGTACCGAGGGAGGGGGAGTAGCGTGAGACACACCAGACGGAGCGGGAACAGGGGGGGGTACCGGAGGAGCAGGGGCGGGAGGAGGAGGAGCTGGAGCCAGGAAGAGGGGAGGGGGGGGAACCGGGAGACCTCGAGAGGGGTACCTGACGTAGTAGGGGACGGACTCGTCGAAACGGACGTCACGAGAGTCAAAGAACCGGTGGGAGGGTGGGTGGTAAAAGGTGAAGTCAGAGGAGCCCTCTGGGAAACCAAGGAAGACACAGGGGACGGCGCGAGGCGAGATCTTGTCCGCAGAGGTGTCGCGGACAAGAGCCAAGCAGCCCCAGACACTAAACCTCGACGCAACACCAGGGGACCCTGTCCAAAGACTGGTCGGTGAAGCCCCTGGCCGAGAGACGCGAGGCCAGAGGTTCAGCTGGTGAGCGGCGTACCGAGCCGCGTAGGGCCACAGAAAATGGGGCGCGCGGGCGTGGATCATGGAGGTGCGGGCGATCTCCATGACCAGGCCTAAGCGGCGCTCAGCAACCCCATTCTGCTGTGGAGAGTCTGGAAGAGTCCAGGACTGGGTGATGCCCTGCTCAGCACAGAATCTGGCGAGAATGCCGGAGCGAAACTCACCCCCACGGTCGGAGTGGAGACAACTGACACGACGACCACGAGTGCCCTCGGTGGCGAGGAGCCACCGGATCAGCGTAGAAGTCACGTCGGACTTCTTCGCCAAAGGGAACACGGTGGTGTACCGAGAGTAATCGTCAACGACCACCAGAAAGAAACTCTCCCGCTCAGGGCCAAGGCGGGAGGCGGGGCCCCAGACGTCTAAGTGGAGTGTCTGGAAGGGCTCGGTGGCCGGACGAAGGGAGGAGGAGTGAGGGGTGGCGCGAAGCCGACCCTGGACACAAGGACCGCACGGAGGAGCTGGGGACGGCGGGAGTGGCGGGAGGACTCGGGGGAGGCCTAAGACAAGACGCTGACTGGACATGGCGCGCAGACGAGGAAGGGACGGGTGCCCCATCCGGTGGTGCCACAGAACGGTGGGGTGGGCAAGCGACCGACACGAGCACGACGCAGCAACTACACCTGACACAGCAACCTGACTGGACCCGGCTACCTGGTGGGACGGGGGAACCTGACGGGGGTCGGTGCGGAGGGTGTACAGACCAGAGCCCGGCTCCTGGCGGAAAGTGGCCAAGGGGGCGTACGTGTCACCGTCGACGCAGACTGCGGTGTCACCAGAAGGCTCAACCCAGACACCGACGTGCTGTCTCGCCAAGGTGCCCACACCAACCAGGTTCCTAGAGAACGTAGGAACGTGGAGGCCGGTCAGGGAACCAGAAGGAGCAGCTGGGCACGGGAGAGTAGTGGCGTGAGTCGCAATGACCGGTCCCGAGGAGGGATCGGCCAGTGCTACAGGGACAGGCGCCGGTAGCGGAGAGAGAGTCGTGCAGTCGCGGAAGAAGCAGTGCGACGCTCCCGAGTCCAGTGTGAAGGAGAGAGACGCGTCCGCCGAGGGAGTACCTGTACTAGTAGCTAAGCAAGATCCTACACTAGCACCTACTCTAGCAACAGGCAAAGATCCTAAGCTAGGTACAGGCAAGTACACAGATCCAGGAGCACTATAGTCTACATCGGCATACATGGCATAAGACCTAGCATCATCCATAGTCATATCAAAAACAGCAATACCACGAGCAAGCAGCGTCCCCCAGCGTGGCGGCGGGGGAGCGGAGGGGCCGTGGTGCAAGCGGTAGAGGTCGTCGAGACGACTGAAGCAGCGTGCAGCAGAGTGGTCGGGGCGGCCACAGTACGTGTCCCTACGAGGACCCGTAAGGATCCAGTACTCACAGGGACCAACGTCGCGGCCGGCCGCGCGAGGTCCCCAACTGGAGGGGGCGCCACCGTGCCCAGTGCTCGAAGGACCCACAGACCTCCACTGCTGCGGAGGGCCCCACTGCTGAGGCTGCTGCTGCGGTAGGCGCTGCTGCTGGCCCTGTCGCTGCTGCTGCTGCTGTCTCTGCGGTGGCAGCTGCTGAGGAGTCGGCTGCTGCTGCTGCTGGAACCCCTCACCACCAGTGAAAACTCCACCGTCGAAAGGAGGGCCGTCAGGTCCCGAGCCACCCCCACCACCACTCCCACCACCTGCTCCACCGCCACCGCCACTACCCGCACCACCTCCAGTACCCCCGCCGCCCTTCCCGCCCTTCTTGCCGGCCTTGCCACGTTTCTGTCCGCCAGAGACAGAAACAGCCGCCGTCTCCTCAGAGGCAGAAGACGTGGGAGTGGCAAGGGAGGCAGAGAAGGTGGGAAGCTGTGGTACCGCACACCCCTCAAAAAGACGAGGAGGAGGCGCGGAAGAGGCAGAGGCAACGGTGAGGAGGTTACTCTCGATCTTCGAGAGAGCGGTCTCAAGAAGATCGATTGTAAGCTCAGTGGGGTGCTTCAGAAGAAGCGCGTCGCGGGCTGTGGCTAGGCGGTCAGGGAGGCGAGTGACTAGCCAGTGAATAGTGAGCCACATAGGGGGCGGGGCAAGGGCAAGCTGGTCCTCAGTGCAAGCAGCGCGAAAGCGAGCGTCAAGGGAGCGCAGGTGAGTAGCGAGGTCAGAGACAGTCTCAAAGGAGGCGAGGTCAGGGTAGATAAAGGGTACGAGGAGGCGACTGAGCGACGCAGAGGAGGGAGTAGAGTAGCGAGCAACAATAGCCTTATACAGATCTGCAGCAGACTCGACCTGAGCGAAGTGGACTGCCTCTGTCGGCGGGAGAAGGTCGGTCAGGGCGAGGCAGGTAGCGGAGTCACGAGACTCCCACACGTCGCGAGCGAGGAGCTGGCGCTGGTACTCGGCCTCCTGCTCAGGAGTAGGCGGTGGGGTAGTGGGCAGCGGGCTAGGCTGCTGGGGAGCGGTCTGAGTACCGGATGCGTGTGCGAACAAGTGCACGCCATCCTGCCGCTGGCTCTTAAGGTGGCGCTGCGCCTGCGTAAGCCACGTGCTAAAATCTATAGGTCGCCCTTCAGGGTCGAAACGAAGTACTCGGGAGGTCGCCATAGAGGGCGAGACTGAGAGAGCGCGGCTGCCAGCCGCGGGAGGGGGGGGACAGTCAGTAGCGAGGATGTAAGCTCGCAGGCGTGCAGGCGAGGAGGAGGCGTAGCATGTGGACAGGAGGGCTGCTCATCTAGTGGACTGGAGGGCGGCGCGGCGGGCTGGCCTATGGGCGGCACGGCGAGTCGACGGACGGACGACGCGCAAGCCTACGGGCGACGCGACGCGCGGGCCTACGGGCTGGACGGCGGGTCGACCGGGCGGGCCTGCAGGCGGCGCGACGCGCAGGCCTACGGGCGACGCGACGCGCGGGCCTGCGGGCTGGACGGCGGGTCGACCGGGCGGGCCTGCAGGCGGCGCGACGCGCAGGCCTACGGGCGACGCGACGCGCGGGCCTGCGGGCTGGACGGCGGGTCGTCCGGGCGGGCCTGCAGGCGGCGCGACGCGCAGGCCTACGACCGACGCGACGCGCGGGCCTGCGGGCTAGACGGCGGGTCGACGGGCGGGCCTACAGGCGGCGCAATGCGCAGGCCTATGGGCGACGCGACGCGCGGGCCTGCGGGCTGGACGGCGGGGCGACGGGCAGGCCTACGGGAGGCGCGACACGCGGGCCTACGGGCGACGCGACGCGCGGGCCTGCGGGCTGGACGGCGGGGCGACGGGCAGGCCTACGGGACGGTACGCTGGCGTGGGCGTTGTCGTGGCGCGGGCTAAGGCGTTTTAGGTCAAGTGTCGATCCTAGGAGGCGACCTAAGTCTAGGAACGGCGCCAATTAGGTGAGGCCTAGGAACGGCGAACCTACTGCTGATACCATCTCAGTAAGTGAAAACAGCGGAATGAGTAGGATTGATTGGGTTGGGGTACATATGCCTAACCCTAACTGCTTGTACCCCATATAGCATGACCCACAACAGGGTATAACATTTGACATTTTGAACATACTTTGGGCCTCGCGTGAGCGAAATGCCAGAAAGTGGTACTTTTTGAGTAAATCTGGGGGTAAATATGAGAGAAAGCTGAAACTAAGGATCTGGGATATAGTTTCCCGTAGCAAAACAAGATGGTAACGGTAACGAGTGATTGAAGGAAGTTCCTACGGGCCTGGCGCCGATATTGGAAATTGTCGAGGCGTAGGGCCGGGCCGTGGGTTACCAGCCGAATCGTTTAGTTTGGACGAGAAAATGGCGGTGGCAGCAACAGTATTCGAGGCAGTGTATTTTAATTACTTGATATGATAGGTAGTCTGACTATTCAGAACCCCCACATTATATGCATAGACCTTGTTTTAACGTGCACTTTAGAATACCAATACTACTCATAACGAAAATGATCCTTCGTGCCAAGTGCGGCAGTTTCAAAGCCCCCGATCTTCTCGAAACTTGATTTTTCCTGTGCTGCTGGCAACCTCCAGCAGGATGCTCAACTGATTTGTTCCTCGAGTGCCCCCAATCGCCGAGAAGTCTGCGACACCTAGTTGGTCTATCACAGCGCTACTCGCGAATCCTGTGCGACATGGACGACGACGGCGGAATGTCGCTCTTCGAAGGGATGGACTTCGTCGATCCCTCCACGCTCCTCTCCCCACCCCGCGCCGTCGACGCCGCGAGCACTCCGCCATTCGAGTCGCCTGACTCTTCCCGCGCCGCTCCTCTCGCCGAGGCACAGCACCAAGAGCTTCCCTCAGCAGGCGATCTAGCCAAGCCAGGTTCTTCCTCTCAATCCCCGATACAAGCTCCCTCATCCGCTTCGTTAGAATCGTCTGTAGCTCCGGGCGGCACAGACGAAGCGAGAAAGTCCGCACCGCTGGACGCTTCACTGTTCACTTCGGAACCCGCAGCCACACTAGCAGACACGTCACCAGCCACGTCAGCGGTCTCTGCAGCAGCCATTGCGGAATCGGCGACGGGAAGCCCGTCGCTGCTGTCTCCCGCGGCCGCCCTGGCAGCCCTCTCGCCTTCCGTTGCCGTCCTCTCGCCGTCCGTGCTTCCTGTAGCGGCAACGGCCGGCAGCGGTGGCTCGCCCATTACCGGCTCACCCAGCGCCAGCGTGGCAGGCTCGGTGACCTCCTCAGGCGCTCTGTTAGCCGGTTCCGTTGCCAAGCCTGTCGGCGTGGTTCGGAAGAAGAAGCGGAGCATCAGGATCGGGTACGAGCGGGACTCAGGAGAGGAGTCATCAGGTTCGGCGGGGGCAGTGGCGGCGAGATCTGCGGACGCGAGTGGCAGCAGTGGCGCAGCGGGGCTGGCAAGTTTGCGGAGCAGCCAATCAGAAAGTGAGATTGCTACCGCCGACGGAGGGGCTGCGGGGGCGGGCAGGGGGAGTCTTTCGGAAGTGAGTGGGGAGGAGGGGGGCGGTGGAGTGTTGCAGCAAGGGGTGTCCGCTGGGGAAGCGGTGAGTGGTGATGGTGGAGAGGGGGGTGGTGCAGGTGGTGCGGATGGCCAGGCAGCCGACGGCTTGGATGATTCTCGTGGCACTGAGGCGGCTGCTGCTGTTGCTGACGACAGCAAAGCTGGCAGTGACGTCATGACAGATGAGACGAAGAGTGGTGTGATTAACGTGTCCTCAGCAACCAATGGGATATCAGAAGGAATTGAGGCGGAGGAGAAGAAGAGCGCTGTGGAGGAAGCAGCAGAAACTGCTGATGTGGCAGGAAGTGAAGGAGTGGGGCCTCAGGAGGGAGAACATAAAGTTGCTGACCTGTTGCCTCCTCCAGCCATGTCAGCCGCCCCTGCTGATGCAGCCACGTCAGGCCCGGACGAGGCTGGAAAGGACGGAACGGAGGCAACAGGGGCAGACGGTGAAGAAGGGACAGCACGGGCAGAAGCGGCAGAAGGGAAGGAGGCGGAAACAGAAGAGACAGCAGGAGCCATGGCGACAGGAAGGGACGACACAGGGGGTGCGAAGGGTGGGGATGGAAACAACGATGAGGAGGCAGAAGCTGGGCTCGGTGGAGAGCTAGAGCAGCAAGTGAAACGCCTCCTTGCTGACGTGGCAGCTAATCTGACCGCTGTCCAGGCCAAGATCCGCGATGCCACGTCAGCGCGGAAACGGGCGGTCCAGATGCGCCGGCAGGCAGCCCAGCGGGCGGCAGCGGCAGCGAAGCGATTGGAGGAGATTGAAGCTGAGCTGGCGGCAGCATGCGAGGCGGAGGAGTTTGAGCTAGCGGACGAGCTGAGCCAGCGGGCAGAGCGGGCGGCGGGCGAGGTGAAGGACTGGGGCGGCGAGGTGGCGCAGGCGGAGGAGCAGGTGGCGCGCTGCAGCGCTGATGTGCTGCGGCTGACGAGTGAGGAGGCGGAGATTGAGGTCGGCGCTGCTGAGGCCCTCTGGCGGATTCACCGGGTGAGTGGCGGAGTGGTGAGTGAGTGAGGAATAGTGAATGGTTTTTTTTTTAATTATTATTATTATTCAGGAGGGGATGGCGAGTGAAGACGCAGGTCGGCAATGTTGGGCAAGGTTAGCACAGAGGCCACAAATAGGCTTTCGAAAGCGTATGTAGTATTGCACACAGTTAAAACAATGAATGAATACACTGACTGTTTACTAATTACGTGGCGACTCGTCCAGCAACTAATAGCAGCCTTATTCCCGCTTCCCAACTTTTCACCTTTCCCCCCTCCCGACCGTTCGCTCTCGCCGCACTCCCATCCTCGCCTTCTCCCTGCCAGCAAGCTGCAGCAGCAGCGGCAGAAGCCAAGCAGGCAGCGCAGCAGCAGGGCGAGGAGGAGGAAGGGCGGGTGGCAGCAGAGGAGGCTGACGTGGACATCAAGAAGCGCAAGCTGGCAGTTGAGCGGCGCGTGCTGGACGAGGAACGTGCTGAGCTGGCAGCCAAGGTGGACGCTGCCACGTCAGCGGAGCGCCAGGAACGTGCTGAGCTGGAGAAGGGGCGTGCTGAGCTGGAAGCTGAGCTGGCTGCGCTGATGGAGCAAGTGCGTGCAAAGGAGCGGGAGATAGAGCAGCAGAATGTGCTTATAGCGAAGGTGGATGGGAAGATCTCAGCCGTTGCCGGCAGGTTTGAGAAAGTGAGGGGAGGATTGGAGGAGGAGGAGAGAAAGGTGGTTCAGATGGAGGAGGAAGTGAGGGAGATGGAGAAGAGGGTAGAGGAGGGGAGGAGGAGGGTGGTTGAGGTGGTGGAGGAGGGGAGGAAGGTGGCGGAGGGACTGGAAAGGGTGGGGAGCAGGGCGGAGGAGGAGGCTCAGAGGTTAGAGCAGGCGGTGGAGGGGAGGAGGAGGGAGGCGGCGGAGGTGAGGGGGGTGGCGCAGCGCAGGGAGGAGCTGGCAGCCGCGGAGAAAGACGCCCAGGCGGACCTGGAGGCACTCGCACAGGCCATGGGCGAGGTGAAGACGAGCCTGCAGGTGAGGCCATGGGCGAGGTGAAGACGAGCCTGCAGGTGAGGCCATGGGCGAGGTGAAAACGAGCCTGCAGGTGAGGCCATGGGCGAGGTGAAGACGAGCCTGCAGGTGAGGCCATGGGCGAGGTGAAGACGAGCCTGCAGGTGAGGCCATGGGCGAGGTGAAGACGAGCCTGCAGGTGAGGCCATGGGCGAGGTGAATACGAGCCTGCAGGTGAGGCCATGGGCGAGGTGAAGACGAGCCTGCAGGTGAGGCCATGGGCGAGGTGAAGACGAGCCTGCAGGTGAGGCCATGGGCGAGGTGAAGACGAGCCTGCAGGTGAGGCCATGGGCGAGGTGAAGACGAGCCTGCAGGTGAGGCCATGGGCGAGGTGAAGACGAGCCTGCAGGTGAGGCCATGGGCGAGGTGAAGACGAGCCTGCAGGTGAGGCCATGGGCGAGGTGAAGACGAGCCTGCAGGTGCGCGGGGGGTGTGTGGAAGTGGGGGAATGGGATGTGCTGTGCAGGTGTGTGCTTGACAGGAAGGGGTGAGGGTGTGTGAGTGGCAGGGGGTGCTGGTCATGTGAATCCGTGCAAGGAAGGAGGGAGCGAGCGATGCTTGATGACATGGGGTTTGAAAGGGGGTGACACAATGCGGTTTTCCTGACAGCATTGCGTCAATGAGTGCATGCTGGTCCCAACAACGCCCGCATCATCATGCACACGCGCATCTCCACCATCCCCCACCCAACCCCAGCCCCAATCTTAACTCCCTTCCCATGATCACACCCCATCCTCCAAACTCCTCGTGCACCACCGTAGTGCCACAGAATGTCTCGTGGACCCTTCCTTCCTTTCACATAAACCCCGACTTAATGCCCCCCCACCTTCAAGCCCCTCCTCCTCACCACCACCTCTGCCCCCACAGGAGCTGAGTGGTGCACGGCAGAGGGCGCAGGAGGAATGTTTCCCTCCCTTTCCACCACCCCCCCCTCCCTCCCCGCCCCTTCCTTGATTGTCCCGCTCCTGGCATGCCTGCACCCCCCTGCATGCTACCCCCACAGGAGCTGAGTGGCGCACGGCAGAAGGCGCAGGAGGAGCTGGCGGCGGTGCACCAGCGCCTGGCAGCCGCCGCGCGGCGCATCCCCGAGCTGGACGCGCAGAAGAAGGCGGCGGCCGCCGCCCGCAACTTCAAGGAGGCCGCCCGGCTGGCCGCCGAGGCCAAGCTCTTCTCCAACGAGCGTGAGGCCGCGGAGCGGCAGGTGAAGGAGTATGAGGAGGAGATTGGGCGGGTGGAGAGGGAGGAGGCGGGGAAGCAGGAGGAGGTGCGGGCCATGGAGGAGATGGTGAGGGAGCGAGAGAGGGAGGTGGGCGTGGCACGGTGTGCACGGTTGAGACTGGTGGCGGCGGTGGCGTGGAGGGAGATGGAGGCGGCGGCGGAGGGGGAGGACTGGGAGGAGGCGGAGGGGCTGCAGGGGGAGGCGGAGGCGGCTGATGGGGAGGCTGATGCGCTGCAGCTGCAGTGGGGACTGCAGGGGGAAGAGTATGAGAAGAGGGAGTGAGGGGGGCAGGTGGCGGAGGGGGAGGACTGGGAGGAGGCGGAGGGGCTGATGGGGAAGCTGATGCGCTGCAGCTGCAGTGGGGGTTGCAGGGGGGCGGAGTATGAAAGGAGGGAGTGAGGGAGTGCCGGAGGGGGCCGTGTAGGGCTATGGATGGCAGTGAGGCTACTGGTGGTGTTGTGGACGCAGTGAGTGCCATGGAGCAATAATGGTGCAAGGTGGAACGAGTGTGAGTCAGAGGACGTGGGCAGAGGTTCACGTGTAGTGAGGGGGGAAACAGGGGGAGGGAGGGGGGGGAGCGGGGAGGAACAAGGTGGAATGGGTGGGAGATCGTGAGAGGGAGGATGGAGGAGTGCATGTGAGGGACAAAAAGCGCTCCAGAGTGGAGGGCAGCGTTCGTCTCAAAGAGGCCCATAAAGGCACTTCCATGGATGGCATTTTTTCTCCATTTAATTTTATCTAGCTTTAGATATTAGTGCTGGACATGGATCCTCTTTTGGACTGTTGTGCTGTTATCCTCATCACAAGCGGAGAATGCATTTGGCATGCTACATGTACTGTTTCATACACAGTACACAAGCAATGAACCACACAACGGTCCTCCCTCTGCACAACAACAGGGCTTATCATGATTCCACAGAAGGTAGGCACAAACAACCTACCGTAACACCTTTAAACTGCAGCAGTATGTAACGTACCATGAGGAACAAGCAGTATCAAGAACCTGCCAAAGAAAGTGACCACTATACTGGAGGCTCCACTTGGAACACCGACCTCACTGGCAGCTGCACCACAGCAACCGACACACACACCCCATTGTACAACATTTCTATCTGCCAGTACAGGGAAACTGATTGCTCCGTTCTTTGCAGGTGGGGGTCGGTCGGCAAACGGCAGAGCTGCTACTCATCCTAATCATTGAAATCATCGCCCCCATCATCATCGTCATCATCCTGAGCGTCCTCAAGCTCCCCATACACATCCTCTGATGCCCTCTCTTCCACCACCACTCGCTTCCACCTCCCTTTTCCCACTGCCACCTGCTCCCCCCTCACGCTTCCCACACCACCTGCTCCCTGCTCCCCTTCCACATCACGCTCCGCACTGCCTTCCCCACCGTGCCTCACTTCGTGCCACGGTCGCTCCCCACCTGCTTGCTGCACCCCACATGCACTGCCCTCTGCCTCCTCTCTGCTACCCAACACACCCATACGCCCTTGTGACTGTTCTGCTGCGCCTCCTCCATCTCCTGCATCTCCTCTCCCAGTCTCCTTCCCATGTAAACTTCCTGTCCCCCTTGATTGCCCCTCTCGCCCTGCCGCCTGTTGCTTCTTTCCCCCAGCAGCAGGAGCGGCAGCAGCAGGTTGGGGGTGGGCGAAGGAGAAGAGGCGGACAGCGAAGGCAAAGGCACGGTCGAAGAGGAAGGGACGAGCAGCCTCTGCTAGCGCCGACAGGTGGGCCACCAGTGGGGGACGTGGAGCGAGCGGGGAGGGCGCAGTGAGTGGGGGGCGCGCAGTGAGTGGGGGGCGCGCAGTGAGTGGGGGGCGCGCAGTGAGTGGGGGGCGCGCAGTGAGTGGGGGGCGCGCAGTGAGTGGGGGGCGCGCAGTGAGTGGGGGGCGCGCAGTGAGTGGGGGGCGCGCAGTGAGTGGGGGGCGCGCAGTGAGTGGGGGGCGCGCAGTGAGAGGTGGGTGCACGGCGGCTTTGGGGGGCCACACACTCCTCGTGGTGCTCATGGGGCCGTGCGTTGACACCTGATGGGCTGACACCCTGCCTCGGCTCATACATGCTGCTGTTGGTGTGGCACGTGCTGATGAGGTGGCCGGGAGTGGTGGTGGTGGAGGGTGGGTGGCGGGCGGGTGGAGGAGGACTGCGAGCAGATGGTCCACCACAATGGCCACGTCCTGCTCCTGCATGCATGGCGCACACACACACGCACACACGCACGCACATGCACACATGCACGAATGCCCCACATGCACACATGCACACATGGACAGATGCATGCGAACAAGGATGCACACCCATGTTGGTGAATGGAGGGAAGGAAACAGGGGTACACGCGCAAGAAACGCATGAGCGCATGCAGAACCTCCTTGCCACACTGAGCAGCATTCCCCACTCATCCATTCCAACACACGGAAGCCATCCACTCATGCACATACACGTGCATGCAAGCGCACAAACTGACCTTCATGAGCGCCTGCAGCTCCACAGTCATCCACGCGCGCACCACACTCTCTGTCGGCGCACTCTCCACCACCCGCCCCCGCCCCCGCTGTTGCCACTTGCTCTTGCTCACACCGCCTGCCCTCCCTCTCTCGCTCTCTGCACCCGGCGCTGCTGCTGCCACTGCTGTGGGCGCGCTGGTGTAGAGGCGCCTGCGCTTGCAATGCTCCCCAGAAGGCACGAACGCGCTGGGAGAGTGAAGGTGGGGCGTAAGAGGAAACGAGAGGGGAAGCATGTGCGGGTTGGGAAATCCTGGGAGAAGCTACTAAAATAAGAACGTGCGGACAACAATATTGATGCTTGTAATAATCCCGATTTGTAACCATGCAAAAAAGAAGGAAAAGGACAGCAAGAGAGGAAAAAAAAAATGCACATGATGTGCATAGCTACACTCCCGCGTACCTGATAATCCTACCACCGCTGCTTCCACGCCTGCCCTCAGCATGGCTCCCCGCAGCAGCCTCAGGCGCAGCTTCGGTAGCCCCCCCCCCAGGTGCAGCAGCAGAGGGCGGGATGGGCAGCTGGTCGAAGTCGGCAGCTTCGAGATCGACGTGATGGATGATGGAGAGTGGCGGGGCCTGGGGGACAATGCGCGCAGGGGATGGGGGTGAGGGGTGCAGCAACAGTGAGTGGCGTGATTGATTCGACAGGCAGGTTCAGCAACAGAAGGCAATTTGAAGTGACTGATCCGCGCAAGCTACTGCGTTAGTACCAGCTCTTGCGTTTCACAGTTGATTAAGGTGTAGCTCGTGTTCCTCACTCTCCTCTAACTCGCTCTATCTCGCTCTGCCTACCTTGCAAACGGGACACACAGCAGGTCTCCTGGGCTGCTGTTGACTGCTGACATCAGCATGTGAAGATGCGTCTCGGCCAGCTGCTCCAACGTCAGCATCTGCTGCGACACGAGCAGAGGAGTCCAACCCCGATGACGTGGCAACATGAGCATCGTTGGGCGCAACATCGGACGGTTGCTGCTGCTCTTGCTGGCGTAAGTGCGGAGGAACGATGAGGTAGCGGGTGCAGGACTCGAGCCATCGCACGATGCAGGCGAAGCAGAAGCTGTCTGGCAGTAACCGAGGCTCGACGACGTTCGTCGACGCCGGTTACATCGTTGAAGTTCGTGAAGAATCGAATCCGACCGTGAAACATCCCGCCGGTTTCACCCGCGAAACGGGGAAGCAGCAAGCGACGGGAGGAGGAGGAGGAGGTAAGAGAAAAGGGAAGCCGGTCAGAACTCGCACATAGGTGTCAGAACAAAATCCTTAGCAAAGCAGCATCTGGTCCGACAGTGGACCTACGAAACGACTCTGCTGTTGTGCGAAGGGCTACGGCACCTACGGAAGCAAGGCTCGAGAAACGCCTCGTCGTGAGGTTCGTCAAGGCAGATCGGACAGACAGACTCCGCGACGGCCATGCGTGCGGGAGCTCGAGTTATGGCAGCACAAGATCGTTGAAGCTGTCCTACCCAAGTCCTCGCGACCTAAAACTAGCCATGTTGGCTGGCCGCGGGTGTGTGTGGTACAGTGAATTGAAGTGCGGTAGACTTTGGAAATTTGACAGCTTAGTTCGGTTTATAATATTTGCCTGGTGCCGGTATACAGGGTATGAGATTCTCCGACATCAACTGTAGTTACTGAAATACAGTGAAGTGCCAGTAGTGTTCACAGTTCCAACGCGTTGTCTAGTTTGGCTTGACGGGACCCACCCCACAGCACACGCACTGACGACGGTTTGACGAATTTGTGGGGACATTGTAACGATGTGTCACACGCACTGGTTCATCGCAAGAGTTGCTCCCTCCTCCCAGCGTGCCCTTCTATTCTCCTACCCACCAACGACCACCACGCAGTCCCTGCTTCAGTACTAAGTTGCCCTAGCGTCACTTGGTGGAACTTTGTGGTAACCCGCTGCGCCATATTTAGAGACCGAAGACTTTTGGAAAGACGGTATGGCAGAAAATAGCGGCGCTGACAGCAGCAGCGGAGGACACATTCCCCAATATATTCCTTCCAAGCACGTCCCACTGACAGACCAGCTAGAAAAGGACAAGGTTCGTTCCGGTACTCGCATGTGCGCTCAACATTTATTTCTCGCCGTACCTTTCACCCGCTATCCTCTTCATTCTTCTGCGCGGTGACTGAATGTTGGTGCTTCGTTGCAGGATGACGAGAGCTTACGGAGGTGGAAGGAGAGCCTACTAGGCGAACTATCGCTCGACGACAAAGGTCGAACAGTCTTCGCATATTCCTTTCCCTGTAGCCTCTGTCCGTAGCCCAATGGGATCTTATCAATCACAGCGTTGTTCTTTCCGTGCCAGGCAAGCGAGGAGGCTCGGCGGTCGAGTTTTCGGCTGTGCGGCTGCTCGTGGAGGAGCGGGATCCCATCGTGCTTCCGTTGCCTAAGGACGGCGAGGCCGTGGCGACGCCGGCGAGCTTCGAGCTGAAGGAGCGGTGCAAGTACCGGCTGCAGTTCGAGTTTACGGTCGCGAACGACGTGGTGCTGGGCCTCACGTACGTCAACACCGTGTATAAGGACGGCGATCAAGGTGAGCGCCACGCGAAGCGGCACCAGCTGCTCGAGCGTCTTGTTTGGGATTGTTCCTCCGTTTGGCATTGATTCTGAGTGACCAAATATGAAGGTGAGTTACCGGTACATGGAATGAAAAAATAATCATCTATGGGGGAATGGTGTGTTGGTCAAGGGGACACGAAGCAGTGTTCTTCTCATCAAGCAATTTGTATCTTTTCTTTTGTGTGTGTGAAACAAACATACTCTGAACGGGGAGTCCACCCTTCAGAAGTTTTTTGCTTATCTCCATGCCAGCAGTTGCCGTCATCCTCCTTTCTTCTATAATTAGTTAGAAGTTTTAGCTCGCTTTTTTTTTTTTTTTTTAATTCTGATTTCGGTATCACTTCCTCTATAACTGTGTTCTGTGCTGCAAGCTTTACCTGTGTGCAGGTGTACTTGCATTCTGCCCTTCTTCTCACTTCCGATTATCTGTAATGAATTTTCATGCCTGTCCTCAACATTGTTGCAGTGGATACTTCTAAGGAGATGCTTGGAGCATATGCGCCCCAAGCGAAGCCGTATGTGTATGTGACGGAAGAAGAGACAACGCCTGACGGGGAGGAGGTTCGTGGCAAATATACGGCAGAGACTAAGGTGCGAGTTCCACGTCCATCCTTCCTTGTGTGCCTGTGTCTCATTCCAATTCTTTATTGTGTGTAGAAGCAGCGTTGCATTGTCCACTTGTCTAACGACTTGACTGAGTTCTTAATCATTCACTTGCTGCTTTTGTGCTCCCGCTCTGCAGTTTACTGACGACGATGGCAAAGTTTACTTGACATTTTCTTACTCTTTTGAGATTAAAGAAGACTGGTAGTCTGCTACCGACTCAACATCTTATCACTATTTTTGTATTATTGAAGTGCGTTTTTACAATAAATTCCTTCTTGCTGTTTGACATAACCTCACATGTATATATCACATCTACTTGTGGTATGTTGCTGGTTCACTGTACAGTTATGAGCACACTTCAGTGTTTCAACGCAACACATTGCAACGGGGTGTTTAAGAATGTTCACACGTGGCTCCTTACGATTGGCGCAAGAACTTCCTACGGATTTCTTCGTCACATCCATTCCCCGCATACTGCTGTGGACTTGGCATTCATCGTCTGCATCTTCTTCATTCACAGCCAGCAAAAGCACAGGAATTCGCTACAATACGAGTCAGAATCCACCTCCTGCAGCGGTATCTTCAAGAGGTGTTCCCTGCTTCCAGCGCGGCAGAATCTTTCTGATCACGCGTCCTTGTTAGCGTCCAGCGTCGTTACACGCACAGTGTGGCAACGCTTTTTTAGTTGCCGGCACAGCATGGCGTTCATCAGTTCTTTAGGAGTCATGCCACTAAATTTTCTTTCCGATGGTGCGAGAACACAACGCATTACTGTGCCGCGTAGGTGTACATCTCCAGCATACCGCACGCTGTCACTCCTTTCGCCCACCAGTAAAGTCGCGCCTCACTTTTTCCGGAGTGCCCGGCCCATATTGACGCGAGCAGACCCGAAAGGCGACGCGAGGGAGCTATGGCGCCGCGAGATTGAAGCTGATTCGGCAGCAGCAACGGATTTTGAGGCGGTAGATGCGGACACAGTGAGGGAGGAGGCGCAACGGTTGACACGTAAGCAGGTCATGGAACGGCTCGACAAGGCGAGCTATCAGGAGCTTCGCGAGCTGCAGGAGAGCGGTTACGACTCCGATGGCGGCAGCATGCGGCCCGGCGGTGGTGGGAATAGCGCGGAAAGCGGAGGGATTGTGTGGAAGGAGGTGGTGGATAAGATTTTGGTGGCGGACTTCTTTTTAATCACCATCGCTCTTGTCTGGTTTCTAACGGGTGTGCTGCAGCGGTCTATCTCGAATGACGACGGGCTGCTACTGGCGTGGTTAAAGCTGTGGGACCCCTTGTTCCAACCGGCCATAGGTGTGTTCATGGGCTCTGCCGTGTTACAGGCCGTGCTTAAGAAAAGAAACTAAGTGCTTGATGTGTAAGGGCCTATTTTATCAGTGTAATTTACCCTGCTAGACTGATTAGAAGGGTAATTTTTGGGGGTCACACTGATGAGTTGGGTTTTTTTTGGGGGGGATTAGAATTTCCCTGATAACAGAGTGTAATGGTCTTGGCCACACTGTGTAATTTTCCTCTTAGCGAAGATTACCGTATTCTCCCGGATATAAGACCCGGGGGACTTTCCTAAAATAGAGGCAAAATGGCTAGGGTGAACATTTATTTGGCACAAGTTGTAAGAGTCCCGGGTTCACTTAATAATCAAGTACAAATGGGGGTGTGTCAAATGTTGTAGCCTGTAGTGAGGTTTGTCTTAGGGGGTACAAATGTTAGGGTTTGCCATATGTGCCCCAAGCCACATCAATAACGCTACACTTCGTTTCTAACATGGTATCACCTAGGTTAGGATCCTGTGGGATCCCGCTCCTCCCGTCCACGTTCGTTCCGCCCGAGCTTGTCTCGCTCTGTCGTACTAATCGCACCCGTCTTGCCCGAGCCTAGAGCCGGCCTGTTCCCGCCTCGCTCGTTCGTTAGCGCCCGTTCGTCGCTCGTTCGTTAGCGCTCGTTCGTCGCTCGTTCGTTAGCGCCACTTTGCCTTCCGCGTAGCGTAGCGCCCTCTCCCCCCCCCCCGGTTGCCCGTCGCGTCGCGCCTTCCCCCGCTGCCCGTCGCGTCACGCCTTCCCCTGCTGCCCGTCGAGTCGCGCTCTCCCCCGCTGCCTATCCCGTCGCGCCCTCCCCCGCTGCCCGTCGCGTCGCGCCCTCCCCCCGCTGCCCGTCGCGTCGCGCCTTCCCCCGCTGCTCGTCGCGTCGCGCCTTCCCCCGCTGCCCGTCGCGTCGCGCCCTCCCCCGCTGCCCATCGCGTCACGCCCCCCCCCGCTGCCCTACGCGCCTTAGCCTCCCGCCGCGCCTGTCGTCCAGCCCGCCGCGGGCCCGCCTTAGCCGCCCGCAGCGCCTGCCTTTCGCGCCCGTCGCGGGCCCGCCCTAGCCGCCCGCCGCACCTGCCCGTTCAGCTCGCCGCGAGCCCCGCCCTAGCCGTCTGCCGCGCTTGACGCAGAGGGTAGGCCCCTCGAGTTCTCCGTCTGGCTTCAGCGTGCGCAGTGTCTCCTAGCGAGTCAGGTGCAGGCAAACGAGTCCCTGTGGGCGCACGCTTCTGGCGACATCCCTAGGCCCGTTGATCCTGTACCCTTAGGCGCTGACGCTAGCTCTGCCGACAGAGACTGATATGCCCGCCAGCGTGCTGACCTCACAGCGTGGACGTCGCGTGACGCTGCGGCCTGCATCGCCCTCAGCAGCCTCCTCCCTGAGTCTGAGGAGACCCACTTCACTCAGGTTCGCACGGCTAGTGAGTTCCTGACTGCAATCAAAGCCCGCTACGCTACTCCCACCACGGTTTCTCTAGGTCGCCTGTTCCTTCCGTTCCTGTTTCCTGACCTCGCCTCGTTTGAGCGCTCTGCTGACTTGATTGCTCACCTCCGCTCGCTCGATTCTAGCTACCGCGCTGCTTGCACTGAGTCACAGCTTGCACTGCTGCCTCCCCCCATGGCGATCACTATCTATTTCATCGCCACTAGCCTCCCTGACCGCCTTGCCTCGGTTCGTGACGCGCTTCTTCTGAAGCACCCTAGCGAGCTCACTATCGAGGTCCTTGAGTCAGCACTCAAGGACGTCGAGAGCAACCTTCGCTCCATAGCCTCCGCCTCTGGTGCTGTGCCCCCTCCACTGTTCCACGGGTGCACTGTCCCACAGCTGCCCACCTTTACTGCCTCTCTCGCCACTGCCGCTACTGACGTGACCGCAGCTGCTGTTACGGCTTCTTCGCGGTCTTGGGGTAGGGGTGGTATGAGGGGCGGTCAGGGTGCAGGCAGCGGCGGCGGTGGCGGCGGAGGTGGTGGGGATTGTGTGGCGACTGGTGGCCGCGGGAGTCCAGGGTCTGGTGAGGCGTCTCATGCAGTGGCGAGTGACTTTCCTGCTGCAGCTGGTAGTGGCGACGGCTGGGTTCGTCAGTCGCCCCCTGGTCTGCCGACTGCAGTGGGTGGAGCAGCGGCGTGGTACCTGACTCAGTGACAGCAGCAGCTGCACCAGCAGCAGCCCCTCCCCTCGCCGCAGCCTCAGCAGCAGTAGCGGCAGAAGCAGGCTTTGGGGTGAGGACAGCGTCAGCTCCAGCGAGGTGTTGTTCACCCTCCGTGCACCTATTAGGTTCTGACGGGTGCTCGCCGGGGCCAGCCTTGTGGCCGTGCCCACCCTCCTGGTCAGTGCTTTGCTCAACTTACTGACACGATCCGTTTGGCCTTCGGCGTTGGCGGCCCTGCCCCTGACTGGTTTCCTCTTGTTCATACGTACGGCTCCACTCTGTGGGGCATGTCAGCTTCTCAGTTAGTTGATCTCTGAGGAACCCCTCATGCTATGTATGCTGTTGTTGACTCTAGTGCTTCTGACTCTGTTTACTCGAGTGTTGTTAGCTTAGGTGCTAGTCTTGCTGAGGTGCCTGTTGCTAGTGTAGGCACTTGTGTAGACACTAGTCCAGGAGCTGCTACGGAGGACGCTTCGCTGCCTTTCACTCTGGACTCAGGAGCGTCGCACTGTTTCTTCCGCGACCGCACGACACTTACACCACTTCCTGCGCCTGTCTCTGTGGCGCTGGCTGATCCCACCTCGGGACCAGTCACTGCTCGCTACACTACTACTCTTCCGTGCCCTGATGTTCCTTCTGGGTTTCTGACCGGCTTCCACGTCCCCTCGTTCTCGAGGAACTTGGTGGGCGTGAGGCCTCTTGTGAGTCAGCACGTGGGTGTGTGGATTGAGCCCTCTGGTGACACGGCGGTTTGTGTTGACGGAGACACTTACACGCCTCTTGCCACCTTCACAGCTGAGCCGGGCTCTGGTCTCTACACACTTCACACTGGTTCTCGTGGGCAGCCGCCGCAGCAGCAGCAGCAGCAGCAGCAGCAGCAGCAGCAGCAGCAGCAGCAGCAGCAGCAGCAGCAGCAGCAGCAGCAGCAGCAGCAGCAGCAGCAGCAGCAGCAGCAGCAGCAGCAGCAGCAGCAGCAGCAGCAGCAGCAGCAGCAGCAGCAGCAGCAGCAGCAGCAGCAGCAGCAGCAGCAGCAGCAGCAGCAGCAGCAGCAGCAGCAGCAGCAGCAGCAGCAGCAGCAGCAGCAGCAGCAGCAGCAGCAGCCGCAGCAGCAGCCGCAGCAGCAGCCGCAGCAGCAGCAGCCGCAGCAGCAGCAGCAGCAGCAGCAGCAGCAGCAGCAGCAGCAGCAGCAGCAGCAGCAGCAGCAGCAGCAGCAGCAGCAGCAGCAGCAGCAGCAGCAGCAGCAGCAGCAGCAGCAGCAGCAGCAGCAGCAGCAGCAGCAGCAGCAGCAGCAGCAGCAGCAGCAGCAGCAGCAGCAGCAGCAGCAGCAGCAGCAGCAGCAGCCGCAGCAGCAGCAGGTGCAGCAGCAGCAGCAGCAGCCGCAGCAGCAGCAGCAGCGGCGGCGGCGGCGGCGTCGGCGGCGGCGGCGGCGCAGCACCAGCAGCAGCGACTACTGCCCCCGGCCCCTGTTCCTTCCCCCGGTCTGGTCCCTGCGTCTCACCAGGTTGCTGCGTCCCCCCAGGTAGCTGTGTCTGGTCAGGTTCCCGTGTCTGGTCCAGTTGCTGCGTCGTGCTCCTGCCGGTCGCTTGCCCACCCCACCGTTCTGTGGCACCACCGGATGGGGCACCCGTCTCTTCCTCGTCTGCGCACTATGTCTCGTCAGTGTCAGTGTCACTGTGTGGTCCCTGCGTCGAGGGTAGGCTGCGCGCCACCCCTCACTCCTCCTCCCTTCGTCCGGCCACCGAGCCTTTTGAGACGCTCCACTTGGACGTCTGGGGCCCCGCCTCTCGCCTTGGCCCTGAGCGTGAGCGTTTCTTTCTGGTGGTCGTTGACGACTACTCCCGCTACACCACAGTGTTCCCCCTGGCGAAGAAGTCTGACGTGACTTCTACGCAGATCAGGTGGTTGTTTACTACAGAGGACACTCGTGGTCGTCAAATCAGCTGTCTTCACTCAGACTGCGGGGGTGAGTTTCGCTCCGGCATTCTCGCTGGATTCTGTCGCGAGCAGGGCATTCGTCAGTCCTGGACGCTTCCAGAGTCCCCACAGTAGAATGGGGTTGCTGAGCGCCGCATAGGCTTGGTCATGGAGATCGCCCGCACCTCCTTGACTCACGCTCGTGCCCCCCATTTTCTGTGGCCCTACGCGGTTCGGTACGCCGCTCACCAGCTGAACCTCTGGCCACGCATCTCCCGGCCAGAGGCTTCACCGACCAGTCTTTGGACTGGGTCCCCTGGTGTTGCGTCGAGGTTTCGTGTCTGGGGTTGCTTGGCTCTTGTCCGCGACACTTCCGCGGACAAGCTCTCGCCTCGCGCCGTTCCCTGTGTCTTCCTTGGTTTCCCTGAGGACTCCTCTGACTTCACCTTTTACCACCCTCCCTCTCACCGGTTCTTTGACTCCCGTGACGTCCGTTTCGAGGAGTCCACCCCCTACTACGTCAGGTACCCCTGTCGAGGTCTCCCGGTTCCTCCTCCCCCTCTCTTCCTGACTTCCGCTCCCCCTCCTGCTCCCCCGGTACAGCCTCCCCCCCCTGGTCCAGCCCCGTCAGGTGTGTCCCACGCTACCCCTCCCCCCTCGGTAGCCCCTCAGGTGCAGCCTCCTTCCCCGCAGTCCTCCTCGCAGCCTGCTGCAGACCCTGCGGGAGCTGGTGTTCGTGGCGAGGACCCTGTCGGTGCTAGCTCTGGGGGTGCTGGAGTTGGGGCTGAGCCCGAGGCTGCAGGAGACTCTCGTCTTCCGGGAGCTGGTGTAGGTGGTGCTGACTCTGGGGGTGCTACGCCTGGGGGTGCGGGTGCGCCCCCTTCGGGTCCTTGTGAGCCCAGCCGTGTTGCTGTTGGTGGTACTGCCTCTAGGGGTGGTGCGCCGGGTGCTTTGGAGGGTGGTCCTGGGGCTGTCGCGGCCCCGGACACTACTCCTCCCCCCCACCCCTACCCGACCCGGCACCAGGCTCGTGTTCGCCGTGCCCGTGAGGAGCAGCTGGAGTTGGAGAGAGAGGAGAGAGAGTTGCAGCGGCTGGAGGAGGAGGAGGAGCAGCAGCAGCAGCCGCATCTGGAGCCGCCGCAGCAGCAGTAGCAGCAGCAGCAGCAGCAGCCGCCTCCTCCTCCTGTCTCTGGTCTTCGGACCCTCGGTCTCCCCTCTCGCTCTCCTTCCTCCTCCCCCTCTCCTCCCGTCTCTGGTCCTCCGCTTCCTCCTCCTGACCCCTCCCCAGCTATTTTTCCTCGTTCTCAGCCTCCGTTGTCCCCTCCTGTTTCTCACACTTGGAATTCTCGTCGCTCTCCTCGTGCTCGTCCCTCGTCCCCTGTTCCCGTCACTGACCTTCGTACTGCCCTCTTTCGTTCTAGTCCGCCTCGTTCGTCTCCGTCTGTGCTTCCGTCTCCTCCTGAGTCGGCCCTCACTGCTTCCCTCTCTACTCCTGTCACTGACTACTACCGCATGTACCGTCCTGTTCTCTTCCGTGTTCTCGCCTCTCTTATTACCGACCCTTGTGCCTCTGTGTCCTCTGTCTCATCTCTTACTGCTGCAGTCACTAGGTTTGCCTCTACTCGCCGCCTTGACTACGCCACCAGTCTTGTGGCTGCTCCTCCTACCAGTCCTCTGGCCGTCGGGGGTGAGTCTGCCCTTGGCTGTGACGCCCTAGAGGACAGGCAGTTTGAGCTAGAGTTCCTGGCAGCCGCTTCCCCTCATCTCTGTGCCATGCTGCTCGCCCCTGAGGGAGACCCCGACGCCCTTGACATACCGACTCCTCGCACTTACGCTGAGGCAGTGTCAGGGCCTTGGGCCTCTCAGTGGAGAGCTGCCATGGACGCAGAGATGGCCTCCTACAGATCCACAGGCACCTACGTCGACGAAATTCCACCCCCTGGGGCGAACGTAGTCGATGGCATGTGGATCTACAGGGTGAAGCGGCCACCAGGATCTCCTCCGGTCTTCAAGGCGCGCTACGTGGCTAGAGGTTTCAGTCAGCGCGTGGGATTTGACTTCTTTCAGACCTTCGCGCCTACCCCAAAGATGACCACTCTTCGGGTGTTACTACACGTAGCAGCACAGAGAGACTACGAGTTACACTCTCTCGACTTCTCTACTGCTTTTCTTCAGGGTAGCCTACACGAGGAGGTCTGGCTGCGTCGTCCCTCTGCCTTCACTGGCACTTTCCCTCCTGGGACCCAGTGGAGGCTAAGGCGACCTGTCTACAGTCTCCGTCAAGCTCCTCGCGACACCCTTCGTTCTACCCTGTCTGACCTTGGTTTCCAGCCGTCTTCTGCCGACCCGTCGCTGTTCGTTCGTCGTGGCTCCACACCTTTCTTTGTTCTGGTCTACGTCGACGACCTGGTTTTCGCCACTGCTGACAGGGTTGCCTTGGCAGACGTGAAGTCCGAACTGCAGAAGAGACACACGTGCACTGACCTTGGTGAGCTGTGCCACTACCTTGGCCTGCAGATCACTAGGGACAGAGCTGCTTGCACCATTACACTCTCACAGTCACACATGGTGAAGCAGATCCTTCAGCGGTTCAAGCTTTAGCACTCCACAGTACAGCGCACACCTCTTGCTGTTGACCACAGACTTACTGGACCCTTTCCTGACGAGCCGTTTGAGTCTAGTGGTCCCTACGCAGAGCTGGTGGGCTGCCTCATGTACCTGATGACTTGTACTCGCCCGGACCTCGCCTTCCCTCTCAGCATCCTTGCTCGCTTTGTTGCACCAGGGAGACACCGTCCTGTTCACTGGACGGCAGCTGTGAGGGTGGCGAAGTACCTAGCGACGACATCAGGCGTGGGGCTAGTTCTTGGAGGGCAGCAGTCTGTCGTACTTACTGGTCACTGTGACTCTTCTTACGCTGACGACGCTGAGACTCACAGGTCTACTCAGGGGTACTGTTTCAGCCTGGGTTCTGGAGCTGTTTCGTGGAGGTCCACGCGCTCCTCTTCGGTCTCGACCTCTACTGCTGAGGCTGAGATCTACGCTGGTGCCATGGCGGCACAGGAGCTCCGTTGGTTGACCTTCTTGCTCGCCGACTTTGGCGAGTGGCCGAGCTCTGCACCGACCTTGTTCACTGACAACAAGGCGTCGATTCTCCTCTGTCGAGAGCCGCGACTGGAGAGCAGAGTGAAGCACATTAACGTCAGGTACTTTCTTCTGCGTGAGTTGCAGAGACGTGGACAGGCTCGCTTCGAGTTTGTGGAGTCCGAGGCCAACACTGCAGACATCTTCACCAAGGCGCTTCTGCCTTGTGACCACCAGAGGTGTTGTGTGCAGTTAGGTCTTGTTGACACAGGTTCTAGACGTGTGTAGGCTTGAGTTTACTGTTTGCTTTGCTTGTACTCTTGCCATACACCTTTGTGAACTCTTGGACTGGCCTTGTGGCCACTGTTGCTTGTGCTCAGAGTGTGTGGTGACATTGTGATCCACCCTGAGCTTTGTTTCTTTGTGACTGGTCTTGTGACCGTACACTTTTGGTCTTGCTTGACAACCCTCTCATAGGCTATGGGGGTGTGTCAAATGTTGTACCCTGTAGTGAGGTTTGTCTTGAGGGGTACAAATGTTAGGGTTTGCCATGTGTACCCCAACCCACATCAATAACACTACAATTTCGTTTCTAACATACAGTTATGCGATTTAGGGGTGTACACTTGAATTTGAAGGGGGAGGGGGGGTCTTATGTTTGAACCGAAAAAATCTCGCGTGCGCGAAATTCGCGCGAGCGGCGCGTCAGAAGCGTTAGATCTCGTATCCGACACGATTGGGTGTGCCAGAACCCGATTCTGACACAATGACGCGTCAAATTTCGGATTCAGTGCCTCTAAAAGCTGACACGCATATTCATTTTTAACTACTACATACAGAAAAGGGGGGCCTTAAATTGTTTTATAGCAAAAGGGGGGTCCTCTCACATTTGCTACATTTTAAGAGTCCTAGTACTGATTACAAGTCCCGGGGGTCCTTTTTTCGGGAGGGTCCTATATCCGGGAGAATAAGGTACTATAATCACCCGGATATAAGATCCTAAGGTGTTACCGTATTACAGGGAAAAAATGGGTGGGGTTTTTTCATATGAAAAGGCTACATAATACCCGGGTGTATTTATAAAGCACTTTTTTTTAGCAGAAATGAAAGGAAACAAAAACATGGGTCTGGCTTCATGGTAAACTGTTCATCAGGGCCGCAAAAGCGAATATACGATAATAACGTCACATGTCAGAAGCGGAATGATGATAATAGTTTTGGGGGTGCTGGAGCTGGAGGTGTTGGCAGTGTCGAGGAGACTGGCGCTGGAGGCACTACTACTGCGCCACCCCACCGCCACGACACACGTCTCCAGGCGGCTCGCCGCCGTGAGCGTGAGGAGCAGGAGCGGTTGGAGCGGGAGAGGAGGGAGCTGCAGAAGTTGGACTTGCAGGAGCAGGAGGAGGAGGAGGAGGAGGAGGAGGAGGAGGAGGAGGAGGAGGAGGAGGAGGAGGAGGAGGAGCAGCAGCAGCAACAGCAGGCGTCACAGCAGTAGCAGCTTGTGGAGCAGCAGCAGCAGCAGCAGTAGCAGCAGCCGCCAAAGCAGCAGCAACTTGTGCAGCAGCGTAAGCAGCAGCAGCAGCAGCACTCGCAGCATTGCAGCAGCTGTTCCCACCTGTGAGTGGCCTTCCGGCCCTTGAGCTTCCTTCCTCTCCTCCTGTCCTCTCACAGTCTCCTACTGCGTACGGTCCTACGTTTC